ATCTGTATATATTTCAGGAAAAGAAAACTACTTAGCAGATACATTAACACGAGAATGGAAGCAATCAGACCAGTCCTAGAAGACAGTCTAAATATGCTAGAAAAACAAGTAGAAGATCTCTCTGAGCAGATAAAGAAAAAAGAAAAAGAAATCAGCCAAATAAAAGCCATACTGTTTGCAGAAAAAGGCAAAGAAGAAAAGAAAAATGAAAAGGCTGAAACATCGGAAGAAAAAGAAAAACCTCGTTTTGATGAGGAAGAAAGAACAAAAACCCATTATGTAATATTTACAGGTCCTAATCAAGGGATACTTTCCCAATGAAGTCAAGCAGCTATGTTTATAACAGGACAGCCTGTCATACATAAAAAATTCTCTAGCCTGTTCGAAGCAAAAGAAGCACTAGCTCAGTTCAAGGCAAGCTATGCAGGAAAAACACAGTCACCAGCTATAGCAGCACAGAAGCAAATGCCTATATTAAGAAAGATTCCAAGCAGCAGACCACTCACGATTGGAAGCATACAGTCTAAACAACAGAAAGAAGAGATGACCAAGCTCACAAAAAACATTTTTTACCATGAATTTAAGTTTGTGGTTAATTACACAGATGAAGATAAGCAGACAAGCATTTATCCAGTTGATGGTTCATATCTTGGACCAAAAGCAATCGCTCTACCAGAAGCAGATCCAATGAAAGTATACATGATGTTCCAATCAGGCTACTGAGTTGTATTTATTTCAGAGATGCAAATATGTTCCAATACTTCCCGATCAACATCAAGAAGGCAATTTCCCAATACAGTAAGCACGTACTCGGGAAAAAAGAAGGATTCATAAAGATATTCGTCACCACACCAATTTTTGGGGAGGGGGAGAAGTCACAAGAAGTAATACAACCAGCAATCCAGTTTTGTCAAATTGGAATAAGCAATGGAAATTATCCAGACATCGGACAAGTACAACATGAAGACGAATTAATTCAGTTCCTTAATAATTATGTCATAATATCAAACAAAGGCATTAAGATCAAGGGACGGATTAATTATGCAGCCAAGTCCATTATCATTTGGAGTATGCAAGCACGAGATCCAGCAGAGATAGACATCAAATTACTCAACAAATATCTGGATACACTAATAAAAATACAATTTGATATTCCAAAAATAATTAAGAAGGAGATCTGCATCAGGCTACAGAAGAAATTCACAGAAGATCACATTTGTGAATTATGCAACCCAGAATCACAAGGAGAGTTTAAACCCATCCAGGATCCCACCTTCTTTTTGAAAATTGTCTTGTTGTAATAATAGAAAAGATTCTATGCACTATGTAATGGGATGGTGAGTCACCACCCACACCCACTAAGAACCCATAATGTGAAGTTGTCGGCCATGATGTAAAGAGGCAGAGATATGACTCATGCCTATAAATAAGTGTCTCAAACTTCATTTGAGAACAATTTGAAATAAAATCCTTTCATATAACATTCTTCCTTTCACAAGATTTTATGCTTTCATATATAATGAGTTTCTAAATACTTAGAAAATATAAGAAGAAAGATTGAAAGTGTTAATTGATTAAGCGATAGTCTCTCTGGAGCACTGGAAGTTCTGTGAAAAGGCCAAAAGCTGGTAGGCGTCAAGGCCATTAAGTCCAGAATTGTGTTGAGAGCAGGCGGAATCAGGTAACCCTCTTAATCAAGTATTCTTATATCTATCTTGTTAAAAATTGTTATTGATTCCTTAATTCTGCATGGAAATAAATGATTTTTGGAATATGTCATATAAAGAAATATATAGAGACATAAATTTCCTAAAATCATTAATAGAACAAATTGTTTCATTAACAAAAATGTTAAAAGAAAATGAACAAATGTTATTCAACCTAGTTAAAGTTTATATACATAAAGAACATCCAGTAGAAGATGAAGTTTATTTCCGAATATATGATGACATCACCTCTTCAATTACCAGGATTAAAGAGTTAATAAAGAAAGCCGAATACCAAGCATCCATTCTAAGTGTTCAAATAAGGCTAAGAATTCTAAATATAATATTTTTAAAGTTAAAAAATGGAAAATGAATATCATGTTATAGAAAATATAGAAGAACAATGAATTTATCTATCAGATATATTATTAGACAAAAAAATAGTAACAAAAGTAAAGAATAAAGGAAATTTAGATTTAGAAAAGAAAGAAGGAATAAAAAATGGTATACTAGAAAAACTAAATAGAAAAAATATAATACATTATGGAATAATGAATGGAGAACAACCGATTAGAATAGAACAAGCAAATTATAATTTTCAAGCACCCTTAGTTGAAATAAATCAAATAGAAAAAAGATTAGAAAAAATAAAAGAAGGAGATAGGAAAAGGATAAGTTATATACATATAAACACGGTACAAATAGTATTACGATCAACATTTAGAGAAGGAATAAAAACACCCGTAAATATAAGAGTTAAAGATAATAGAATTATGCATAAAGAATCAAGAAAGTTAGGAGAAATAGAAGGAGATTTAGGGTATAGAGTAATTAAATTTAATATATCACTACAATTTCCTATACCATTATCAACCAAGAAAATTAATAATTGTATAGGAATAATATGTAATTTTCAAGAAAAAAACATTAGTGGAATCAGGAGATATAACTATGGTTGTTTGTTATAGAATAGCCTATGCATTAAGTAATAGTAGTTTAAGTATGAATTATCAAAATCAAGAAAGAACATATACAGAAAAATTAATCAATGAAACCAGTACTATTATTAAAAATGATAGAATTCAAAAAGAATTTTTAAGAGAACATAGTAGACGATCATTTAGTAATCCTACAAATTTAGGAAAAATGACTGAAAATAGTTTATTAAAAATTCAAGAAATTGAAGAACCTCATAGTAGCAATAGTTTATATAAAGGGGATAAAGAAATAGAAAAATTAAATAAACAGGTAAATGAATTAAGCTCATTAGTAATAAATTTAAATAATAAAATATAAAATGGAAAGGAAAGATATAAATCTTGAACTAGCTAAACTTTTCAGAAAAGAAATCAAAGAGATATATTATTTAATAGAAAAATCAATTCAATATAAATATATAGAAAAAGATGAACAAAAACTAAAACAGCTAGATTGTGATATACAAAGACATAAACAAAAATCTAAGAAATTACATAAAATAGGACTACCTAAAACGATAATATAAAGATGGTATCAGAGCAGGCAATAATTGAATATAAAAATGAGTATAAGAAAAATATATTTTGACATAGAATGAGAAATACAAAATATAAAAATGGATATATCAAGATATATCTATTTACATGAAATTACAAATTTAGATTTTTATTATGATATGATGATAATAAGTCAACGAAAATTAAAAAAAATTAATAAATAAACAAAAACAAGTAACAGTTGCATAGTAAAAATACTATATGGAAATTACCGTTAAAGTAAGCTATGGGCACTCCAATGGGTGCCACCCTCACGGGTGGCATCGAGTGAACCCCACTAAAGATGGAGTAGAAATATTTTATGCATTAGGTTGTCAATTTAAATAATGTGGAGAATCTTTTTCTTTCAGTATAAATAACAGCTCTGAATTGCTGAAGGAGTGCACCAAGGAAGAAAGAAAAGAGCGAGAAGAAAAATAAGGACCAGAAACAACATTTAGTTTGGAGTGTTATTTTTCAGTGAGATAAAAATAGAGTGTTTGAGTAAATCCTGTGAGTGCGTGTAAAATAAACCGGGTTGGGTATCAACTCTATTATTCCTTGTTTAGGAGTTGGGTCTCACTGGGTCACTATATTTTACATTTCTAGTGTAAGGGAGTGTGAAAAGATATTGTAATTATCTTGAAAATATAGTGGATTTGTTCGGAGGTTGTCCCGTGGTTTTTTCCTCTATTTTGGAGGTTTTTCCACGTTAAATCTTGGTGTCTTATTTCTTACATATTTTATTTATTTGGAATATTCTTAGTATGCTATGTGGTCGCAGTTTAATCTGAACTTCCACATCTAAAGAATTATTCCTGTTTTATTGCAAGAGATTTTCTTTTGTCATTCTTGAATTGCTGGAATTGGGTTTTTTATTCACTATTTTACCTCGGTGTTTTTAATTTATCCTTTCCGCATTTGTGCATCTGAGCCCAACAGTACCACCACCCGGCCCTTTGGGTCTTGATATGAGAACTTAACTACTTTTCAGATTTTGACAAAGCATCAGTAGGATACAAATGATAAGACAATTTCCTATACAACAACCACAAACTAAACTAAAACCAGGGAGTGTTCCGTATCCACATCCTCAAATAACAACGTAATGCTAAAAGGGACACTGCAAACTTCAGTACTGTTTCAGATAACAAGTGTACTGGGAGAGGTCCAGTATTGATCCCTGGAACAAAAGCATGACATATCCACCTAAAACAAGAAAACAAAATATCCTCACATATTAGCCATAACCATCCAACCATTGTCCGTCCTTTAACTATGTGGCATGCAACCAAGGAAACATTTTCATTTTTCCACAAGAAATTTATAAGCAAAAGGCAACATGATACGACAAGAGATGCAACGCAAGAAGAATAACAAGATGCAGATACACACTTCTTTGAGTTTTGGCTCTCCACAATCCTCAGAATGAGAGACTTGTTCTCATCTAGCTAGATACTGCACAACACATAAAACACAATTAAGGAGGCAAGCAAATATAATGATATGAAGAACCAACCGTTAGCATATTTGAGATATATAAGAAAGCAGTGTAATGAAAACCCCAACAGCTTTTCCTATCAAGTAACTATATTAGCTAGAAAAAAACTCATAGTGCAACGAAACAAGGAAAAACATACTAGCATCACAAACATTAAATTTAGCTAGACTTGTAATGAAAATTCAAAAAGTTAAAAACTCTTAAGCAGACTCAGAAGAGAATAAAATTAAGCTAGAGAAACATGATGTCCTTAAAACCTATCTACTACTCCAAGCATAATCAACTTAAATGAAAATCTAAATCAAGCTGAACAAGGTTGGGTTGCATTGTGGGAGTGAACCACTTTGGCGCGGGCACAATCTTCATTGCTTTGCTCATATCACATGAATAATAGCACGGCCAGAAAGTCTCATCTCGATAGCTGAAGATACCGACATCATGGCCTCCATATGGTTTATCATCCCACTCAGGCGGGCATCTGGTATCGGTGTAGTAGATGGAGTCGGGCTTCAGCCCGGGATAATCAGCCGCCTGCAGAGCAAACCCGTCGTTGGGGCCAATGAAGAAGGCCAAGCCATCCAGAGTGCGATCCATGTACTTCAACGAGCCGGTATGCGGGTCGTACTTGTGCACGTCAAACCCAACTGTCTTGTAAGGTGTCCTGTCTTCCGGGAAACTACCGTTGTACCAGACCTCATCCACTAGTGTGCCGTCGGGGCCCATGCACGGCAACACAAAGCGCCGGACGTGGAAAAGCTCATCCGACTGCTCGGCCACGACAAGGAACCTGTAGTCTTCGCACAGGACTTTGAGATCCAACTCCAACCGTGAGCGGGCAGCCAGCGGGTAGTTGTCTGGGTCAGCGGACACGGGTAGCTGAGTCATTGTGGTTGAAGAAGAAGAAGAGAGATTCCATGCCTCGAGATGGTCCTTATGTCTTGGGGCAGAGAAGAAGAGGTTCCGCCGGGTGGAATAGGCGATGGACTCGTGCTGATAATTGTCACCGAGTGGGGTCCACTCGGTTGGGGTTGGGGCTTGGGCGGGGCAGCAGAATGCCAGTCTCTGCTCGGGACCGTATGTGATGACGGCTCGCCATTCGTTGTCGCAGGATGAGCTGGAGACGACGACGCTGGTAAGGCAGCCGCGGCCCCTTTTCAAATTAGGGTCGGGGATGTGGGGAAGGGTGCGGATGGGTGGGAGCTTAAAGTGGCGGCCAGTGAGGGGATTGTAGAGAAATAAGTCGCAGTTATGCTCGTGGAACAGGGCAAGCCAGCCGTGTGAGGATCCCACAATCTTGGCATCATTGTTCGGCCCATCGTCTTCTTCTTCTTCGGATGATGATGATGATGGTAATGGTGTGGGTCTTTTGGGGACACTTAATACTTTGTCCTCGCCAAGGCTGTAGAACTGGTAAACCATATCTAACTTGTTGTTATCTTTGGAAACCGGTGGGAGCATCAGCCAAGGGGACGTGGAAGAGGAGCAACTTATCGACGACGACTTTGATCTGCTCACCTTCAGCCCACCAAAAACTCTACTTTTCATCAATATTCTGTGGTGGTTTTGATGACATCGTACCAATTGTAAACTATTTGGAGGACAAAAGCCAGAAACTAAGCGACCGCACAAAGCCATTGGCGACTGCAACTTCGATCCCTACGTACCCTGCTTATACAATATTCCGTTTTTTTTTTTTTTTTTTTT